AACTTGCCAAGACACAAAGCTGTCTTTGAACAGGGTCAGGTCAGACCCCAGGTCTCCTGCCTCCTAGCTCCATGCTCTTTCCTCTGCCCAAGGCTGTGGCCAGCTAGGCCAGGGGTAGGAGGTCAGGTTAGCAGGCTAGCAGGCATAGGAGGCCAGTGGGGAACACACAGCCAAGCCCAGTCCGGTCAAGGCCATGACCAAGGGCTCAGAGTGGCTGCTTATGCTTCAACTAGAAGGAAATAAACTACATGGAGAGAAAGACCAGTAAAAGGGAGGGCCAGTCCCAACCCCACTCCCACACCCCCATCCCCACCTCCACACCCCCATCCCCACCCCGCATCACCCTGGAAGACAGCTTCAGCCAGTTTCTGACCTCCTTGGTGATTCTGGGAGGAAAACAGAGGAACTGAGGTGGTCCAGGGATTGCATCCGATCTCTCGGTTTTCCTGCTGCCCTAAAATATTTACACTAATAATTAATTTTTATGTCCAGCCACCTGGCTTCCTTAGGTGGATTCTGTGCCTCCAGCCAGGTTCCCAGGCCATCTCTTAGCTGAGTTGCTCCCAAATAGGAGCCACTGGACCATGGTTGAATGAAGAGGCATAATTGTGGTCATACCTGAGCCAGGGCAGTGGACAGAGCATTGATTTTAGAACCAAGTATCCTGGGTTGTAGTCCTGGTTCTGCCGTTCACAAGCTTCGTGACCTTGAACAGATTGCTTTCCTTCTGTGGGCCTCCATTTCCTCATCTGTGCGAAGACTGGACCAAATGATGGCTAAGGGTATTTCTGGCTCTAAAAATCTTTAAACCTATGTTGGATTCAGGGAAGGGAGGCTGGGAGAGGAGGTATAGACAGTCCCGGTCATTTTCTGAGAAGCAGTGGCTGGAGTCTCCTGGTCGGAACACATGCTCTGGCTGAGTCCAGCAGGTACTACAAGAGAGAGTCCCCAGAGAGTCAGCCCCAGAGAAGCCTCTGTGTGCATGGATGCCATGTAAGGACAGACACAGCCCCTCACCCAGAGACTCGAAGGGCTGGACAGAGAAGAGAAGATAGAGAACATCTTTTACCCCCTCCCTTGTAAAGCCAAGCCTGACATGGGCAAGGACCAGGCAGACAGCGGGCCTCTTGGCAGCCAGATGGGTCTTGCCAAACTCCCACTTACTTCCCAGAAGCTCCAGGGTCCCCTGGGAGTGGCTCCACCCAGCTGGCACCCCTCCGAGTTGGGCACCCACGTCAGCAGGTCCTCACACTCCCTTGTCCTTTCACCCAGTGACAATAGGACAGGAGATGGGGGGGCACCCTAGGCCCAATACTTGGAGAAGCGTCTGTCTGCCTGAGCATGGCCCTTCTGTTACCACCTCTGCTGCATCCAGCGCAGGGCAATGCCTGAGGCCGATGCCCAAGTGAAACGCTCTCCTCCCAAGGCCTCCCTGCCTGATCACCCTTTCTGGGTGATGCATTGGCTCCCGTGTACCGGAATGAATGCTGAGTCAGAAAGGCCCAGTGGCCTTGGCCAACCCACAAGGCCTCTCTGGACTTCGTGACCCCAACTGTAATATAGAGACAGTCATAATAGTGATCTTGTAAGAAGTTTTTGAGAATTAAGTTAAAAATACATCTGAAGGGTAAGAACTTATTCTTGCCAGGCCCGGTGGCTCACACCTGTAATCCCAGCACTTTGGGAGGCCGAGGCAGGCAGATCATGAGGTCAGGAGATTGAGCCATCCCGGCTAACATGGTGGAACCCTGTCTCTACTAAAAATATAAAAAATTAGCTGGGTGCCATGGCGCGTGCCTGTAAGCCGAGCTACTTGGGAGGCTGAGGCAGGAGAATCGCTTGAACCCGGGAGGTGGAGGTTGCAGTGAGCCAAGATCACACCATTGCACTCCAGCCTGGGCGACAGAGCAAGACTCCATCCAAAAAAGAAAACAAAAAACAAAAACAAAAAAAACACCCTTATTCTTAAGCCTCAGCCTGCAGTAGGAAGTGAGATTGAGCCCTGGGGGCATCTGACCCCAAAGATGAGTCACATCTAGGCCACGGCTGCTCCAGAGAGGGCAATGGCTGTGGTGGGGCACGAGGCTCTGCCTGCCATAAGAGCCTCTGGTTAAGCCTGGGAAGGGGTCATCCCTTACAGCTGAAGCTAGGTCCTTGCAGGCTGGGGTAGGAGAGGTGGAGGAGGGCCACGAGGCAGTGTGGGAGGCGCTGTGTAGAGGAGGGGCTGGTTTGGCTGGGTATGGGGTGAGGACAGGTCTCTGGGGTGGCTGCAGGGTACAGCAAGAGAAGGGCAAGGAAGGGATGTGTGGCTGCTTGAAGCGGGGGGTGGGGGTTTGTGAGCACAGTCACGGTGAGCAGTGAGGCTGCCAGATAGGCGGGCACTGGCTTTTCCTAAGAGATGATGGGCCCTGGGAAGCCACAGGCTATGACAAACACGGGACAAGGGAACAGCGGAGAGGGGGTGAGGGCCCCTGGGGGTGGTACATGGCTGTCTGACCCCATGGAGATGGCCCTGCCCCAAGGCCCACACTCTCAGGTCACCCTTCCCCTGTGAGATCCCACCACCACTGCTTCCATCTCGCAAGCCACAGGTTCCAAAGAACTCTCACGCCCAGTGTCTTCTGTGCTGCTGCAGACAGCTCTGGTGCGCAGCAAGGGTGGGAATTAATAGCTCTAGCTCAGTCCTCCAGCGTGCAGGCAAGGCAAGTAAGACCAGAGAAGGCTAGGGATTTGCCCAAGGTCACACAGCTATCACGTGGTCAAGCTGGGGCTATGTCCACACTACCTACTCCCTGTTGAGCCCCATCCATGATGCCATGCTCTCCCCCCTCCACCAAGTAGTGCTGGCCTGGGGGACAGGGAAGTACTGGGTGAGAAGCAGCTCTGGCTCAGGGCCTGCCTAGCTGTCGAGGTGAGTTGTGGTCTGGCTGCCGTGGCCGAGCTGGCGGGCACAATCTGTTCTCACCCTGCTGGGGCGCAGACGTCCCAAGCACAGCGGCTCAACAGCTCAGCTGTCCGGGTCCCTGGCAAACGGTGACACAGTCACTGGCCTGACGCTGTTGAGGTGGACAGGGGAGCCAGTTCTAAGGGCAGCCCAAGCAGCTGTCCCCAGAGCTCCCTGAGCTTTAAGATCCGAATGACCCTGGGTTGACAGAGGTGCCAGCTTTACTGGAACTGAGCTGCCCCCAAGCCTGGCTGCTCTCTTGGAAACATGAGAGTAATCTGGCACTTCTCTCATTATTAATCACAGGGAGCCATTACTGAGCACTTGATATGTACCAGGCTCTGGGCTAAGTGATCACACACATCATCTTACTTATTCCTCCCCAAAGCTCTGTGAGGCAAGTGCATTATTAACCCATTTTACAGATGTAGAAACTAAGGCTCAGAGATCTCTCTCTCTCTCTCTATCTATCTCTCTCTCTCTCTCTCTCTCTCACACACACACACACACACACAGAGAGAGAGAGAGAGAGCACAAGTCTAGAACAGAGTCACACAGTATCTTGCCCTGAAATTTAATCATCAAACGTCTTCTGGGCCTCCATAGGTTGGCTGGCAATGTGGAATTGGAAGCTAGAGAGCAATGTGACAAGGCCCATCAGTGCCATCCCTTCCCCCGAGCTAGCATTTGCTCTCTGTAGTTGGGGATCCTGGAGGACAGAGGGTGGTGGAAATATTGGCCCTGTAGTTAAAAGCTGAACATTTTCAGTGCCACTCAAATAAGGCAGAGATCACTTTTAGCTGTGAGGAATCCAGGAGGACTGCATGGAAGAAGAAACATTTGGTTAAGATTTGATAAGACTTAGAAAGGAGGGAAATGTCAGCATTGTTTTATTATTGTGATTCTATTAATAAACATAGTAAATATCTCAACAATGAAAGAAGCAGGCCAGCACCAGTAAATACACTTTACAAATGAAGAAACATGCTCAGAGAGGGGGATTAATTTGCCCAAGGTCACACAGCCACTAGGTCCCTGCCACTAGGGATGACTTCCCATCCAGGGCCATTCTCCCTCCGGGTAGCCAGGTAGAATTCTTAACTTAGGCCTTTGGATGTCTGGTGCAGAGGGAAGCTTTGCCTCTGTCCTGATCCTGGCTCAGGGAGGGCCGGGGTGGGGGTGGGGCACAGAGAGGTTGTCTGGCTAATGATAGTAACACATCTGGAAGGACGCCCAGGGCTCCTGCTTTGCCAAGGGTTATGCCACCTCCCCAGGAGGACACACCCTGCATCAAAACAAGCACAGAGGAAGACCCCAGGGCCTCTGACTGGAGACTGATGAGGACCCTGGAGCACTCATTCATCCAGCTGTTGCAGGGAGGGGCAGGCAGTCTCCTTTATCCCCTGGCACAGTGGGCCAGCTGCCCCCAGGAGACTGGAGGGCCCCTGTTGCCAACCAACCCCCTGTAAGCTTTGATTGGCAGTAGGGAAACCATCAAGAAGCCACCCTGCCTCAGTCTCCCTTCCTGTACACTGGATCACAGGATGTCAGAGCCATTCAGGGCAACCACCTCCCCTTGTAGTCAAGGAAACTGAGACATGGAAAGGACAAGGAGCATGCTGGCAGCCCAGGACACTGAGCTAGAATCCAGCTCTCCCAGCTGACCTGTGCCCTTCCACGCTCCCTGTGCCGCTGGATGAGTTCTCAGTAGCACCAAGGCCAGCCCTTCTCCAGGCATACAAAACAGTCCAGTCCTTGAGGTCAAACAGGCTCAAGTTCAAACACGGGTTGCTCTGCTTCCAAGCCATGTGACCTTGGAAGTCACTTAGCCCCCTCTATCTCTTCCTTCCTACATACCTTCTGCAGGAGTCACAAGAGCACAGGAGAAAGCATGAGCAAGGGCCAAGGCCAGTGCATGGGGACAAGGAGCACCCGTCACTGTGGGCCCAGACCCGCAGGGTGGCGAGGCGGCGGGGCAAGGGGGAGGCAGAGGAGGGTTTCTGGAAGAGCAGCTCCATAGCATGTGCTTTCTCTCCTCTGCCACGCCTTCCCTCAGGCTACGGGCACGCGGCGCCCAGCACAGATGGCGGCAAGGTGTTCTGCATGTTCTACGCGCTGCTGGGCATCCCGCTCACGCTCGTCATGTTCCAGAGCCTGGGCGAGCGCATCAACACCTTGGTGAGGTACCTGCTGCACCGTGCCAAGAAGGGGCTGGGCATGCGGCGCGCAGACGTGTCCATGGCCAACATGGTGCTCATCGGCTTCTTCTCGTGCATCAGCACGCTGTGCATCGGCGCCGCCGCCTTCTCCCACTACGAGCACTGGACCTTCTTCCAGGCCTACTACTACTGCTTCATCACGCTCACCACCATCGGCTTCGGCGACTACGTGGCGCTGCAGAAGGACCAGGCCCTGCAGACGCAGCCGCAGTACGTGGCCTTCAGCTTCGTCTACATCCTCACGGGCCTCACGGTCATAGGCGCCTTCCTCAACCTCGTGGTGCTGCGCTTCATGACCATGAACGCCGAGGACGAGAAGCGCGACGCCGAGCACCGCGCGCTGCTCACCCGCAACGGGCAGGCGGGCTGCGGCGGCGGCGGCGGCAGCGCGCACACCACGGATACCGCCTCGTCCATGGCAGCGGCGGGCAGCGGCGGCTTCCGCAACGTCTACGCGGAGGTGCTGCACTTCCAGTCCATGTGCTCGTGCCTGTGGTACAAGAGCCGCGAGAAGCTGCAGTACTCCATCCCCATGATCATCCCGCGGGACCTCTCCACGTCCGACACGTGCGTGGAGCAGAGCCACTCTTCGCCGGGAGGGGGCGGCCGCTACAGCGACACGCCCTCGCGACGCTGCCTGTGCAGCGGGGCGCCGCGCTCCGCCATCAGCTCGGTGTCCACGGGCCTGCACAGCCTGTCCACCTTCCGCGGCCTCATGAAGCGCAGGAGCTCCGTGTGACCGCCCCGGGGGGCCTGGAGCGCCTGGGGGCGCGGGCTGGGGACCCCTGCCGGGCGGACCTGCTGCTGTCGGCCAGGAGACTGCCCCCGCCGCCTTCTGCCCAGTGGGACCCCCCACAACATCCCTCACCACTCTCCCCCAGTGCCCCCATCTCCGACTGTGCCTGCTTGCACCAGCCGGCAGGAGGCCGGGCTCTGAGGACCCCTGGGGCCCCCATCCGAGCCCTGCAAATTCCGAGAAATGTGAAACTTGGTGGAGTCAAGGAGGGAAGGCAAAAGCTGGGAGCCTCCCTTCCCTTTGAAAATCTAAGAAGCTCCCAGTCCTCAGAGACCCTGCTGGTACCCAGACCCCCACCTCCGGAGGGGACTCCATGTTCCGTGTACGTTTGCATCTCTATTTATACCTCTGTCCTGCTAGCTCTCCCACCTTTCCTTGGTTCCAAAAGCCAGCGTGTCTTTGTCCAAGTCACCCCCACTCAGTCCCACTCCCCCACTCCGTCCCCAGCTGTGTCTCCCAACCTCCCGCTCTCTTCGTGTTGTTTTGCATGGCTTTGCAGTTATGGAGAAAGTGGAAACCCAGCAGTCCCTAAAGCTAGTCCCCCGAGAGCAGGTCAGAAAGAAGGGACCGGCAGGCAGCAGGAGGGGTGAGCCAGGAGGCTTGCCAGTCTGCAGAATGGTCACACTGGAGGTTCAAGTTAACTGACCTCTAGCCACATTCTCATAGCAGGTCGGACTTCAGCCTTCCAGACACTGCCCTTAGAATCTGGAACAGAAAACTTCGCCATCCCCAGCCACTGTTAATAATTACCAACTCTCAAATTTGTGGAGTGATTTTTAGCTTCTGAGAACTCTGTGCTGGCCACTGATTCCTTTGAGTCTCACAACACCCTACTTAGGTCATGAAGGCAGGAGTTCTGACCCCCGTTTTACAGATGAGAACACTGAAGCCTGGACAGGTGAAGTGACCAGATAGCAAAAGGCAAAGGGGTGGGGGGCTGCATGCAGTGGCTCATGCCTGTATTCCCAACACTTTTGGAGGCTGAGGTGGGAGAATTGCTTGAGCCCAAGAATTCAAGACCAGCCTGGGCAATACAGTGAAACCCCATCTCTACAAAAAATAAAAAATTAGCCAGGTATATTGGCACACGCCTGGGAGTCCCAGCTACTTGGGAGGCTGCAGTGAGCCCTGATCCACTGTACTCCAGCCTGGGTGACAGGGCAAGACCCTGTCTCAAAAAAAAAAAAAAAAAAAAAGGCAAAGGGAGACCAGAGCCCAGCGTACTTGTTCCTAGCTGAAGTGTTCTTTCCTTCCAGCTTGGCCTGTTCTTGAAAGCAAAGTTCCTGCAGTGTACATCTTGGCATTGTGTGGCTAGCCAGGGCTTAAACCAGAATTAGAAGTCCCGGGACAGAGGGCACTGCTGCAGCCCAGCCTCTTTTCTTGGCCAGGAGGCAATGGCTCTGAATGGGCCCCTGAGGCAGCACAGGGGCCTTTGTCACTGGGCTGCATGCTTACAAACAGTGTAGTTCGTAGGACTGAGGTAACCAGGACTGGGTCTCATGGCAGAAAGGCCAAGATATGGGGCTCTAGGACTTTGGAAATTGGGCAGAGCTGCCAAGAAAGCTGGCAGGCATATCCTATGGGACATTATCCCTGGCACCATTGTCGTTGTTGGTGCCTGTGTCCCAAGTACCTAATGATAAGCTGAGGCTGCAGCAGGAAACACCCTTCCCAGGTGGCAGGGTTTGGACCAGAGGTGCCCTCTGTCCCCAACCCAGAAGCCCAGATGGAATGCAGCTGCCGAAGGTGATGCCCAAGGCTCACTGCTGGGGCCCCACAGCTGGAGCTGGTACAGTGACCGGGACAGCATCAAGGGGCGGATGAGGGGCCTCTCCTCCCGCAGCACTGCCTTCCCATGCTGTTCCCCCTGCCAACTCCTTAACACTGCCGACCAAGTCCAGCCCTGGCATTCAGGGAAGCTGGACGGCAGCACCCACAAGGTTGCCAGCCTCAGGCCCCACCCCAGCCACGTCCTCTAGTCTCTGAGGAACCTGGAGGGGAAGAAGTCCACCCAGCTTGTGAGTCCCATCTCGGTGTTGAGGAACTGGCTGCCCACATGCCAGGAAAGCAGGGCCCAGGCCCTGGAGGTGCCCTGTATGTTTATGTTGGGGGTGGGAGGGCAGCACTGGCTGCCTCTGTCCTGTGTGTGACCCTGCCCTCGAAGGGTCCTGTCCTGTCAGTTCCGAGGGAGCCACAACCAAAGCTGCGGAGAAAAGGTGGGGAAGGGCGCAGAAGGCCGTGGGGCACAGCGTGGCAGACTGTCCGGTCTCTGCTGGGTCTTTCCTAGGGACCTGGAAGGCCAGTGTTGCTTCCCCCTCACCCCCTTTCACTGCAGGCAGCCTCTCTGCTTCCCCAATGCCTTATGCCTGGGCATACTGCCACAGAATATGCAATATGTGTGGGTGACGTGCCCTCACGCCCACACCCGTACCCCGGGCAGCCCCTGGACTCCAAAGGCAGTGGCCGCCACAGCCTCCCCTCAGCTCTTCCTGCCTATCTGTCTTCACACTGAGAATGGCGCCTAATAAATGCTATCCACGGAGACCAGGCTCAGGCTCCAGCTGCCTCTGTCATCGTTTGCCCTTGCTGCTGCCAGGGAGGGGCCATCTCCCACCCACTTCCCTGCCAGGGTCTACAAACATACCTAGCTGCCGGGCGCTGTGCCTCACGCCTGAAATCCCAGCACTTTGGGAGGCCGAGGTGGGCGGATCACCTGAGGTCAGGACTTCAAGACCAGCCTGGCCAACACGGTAAAACCCCGTCTCTACAAAAAACACAAAAATTAGCTGAGCGTGGTGGCCCACACCTGTGATCCTGCTACTTGGCTACTCAGGATGCTGATGCACGAGAATCACTTGAACCCGGGAGGCGGAAGTTGCAGTGAGCTGAGATTGCACCACTTCACTCCAGACTGAGTGACAGAGTGATACCCTGTCTAAAATAATAATAATAATAATAAAATAAAATAACATACCTAGCTGACTCACTGTGGGCTCACTGGACCCTGCTCCAGGGGCCTTGGGGAGAAGCCTGTGGGTGACACTGGCTTCCCTTTTGGGATTTCCCAGAAGATCCAGATTTTCTTAATGTCCTACTAGAACAGACTAAGAGAGAAACACATTAGAAATCACCTGGTCCTATGAGGAACTGATGCCCAAAGAGAACAAATCACCTGCCCTGAGGCACAGCAGTAAGTGGCAGACCTGGGCTGGGAACCAGAACTGGGACTCCTATTCCAGTGCTCCCCCTCCTCACACAACCTGCAGAGTCCACCTGGACATACTGCAGCTGGTGGTGCCTCCCAGTCAGCCAGGAGTAGGGATGCCCTTCTCCTGCAGGAGGGGCCCCTGGCTGAGTGGCCTGATTGACTAAAACATGACTCTTTGAAAGAGAGTGCATCACAAGCACCTTTCTTTGGGGTACATTATTCTCTGGTCTAGAGGAACACCTCAGGCTTGGGACTGGGCCTCAGAACCCAGGACAGACTCTGAGAGCAGATCCACCTTGCCCATCTGGTGCCAGCTCCCCGGGTCAACTACAGTGACCCCCAAACTTCAGCCACAGCACACAGCTCCGTACCTATCTAGCTCTATGCCTACCTATCTGTTGACCTTTCACAAAATCATACTTAGCAACCCTGCTACAGCCAATGACTCTAATACTTTCTATTCTATTTCACGTTATAAAATGCTGGTCACGACCCACTGAATGCTGTCTCTACCCGCAGGTTTAATACCTGCAGATTGAAATATGCTGGAGAAACAAAGGATTTGGAAGATGGAGACTTTCTCCCAGTCCCCACCCACCGCCTTACCCATGTGGGTCAATTGGAAGGTACAGAGAGGGATCCATTGAGGGGGGTTCAGAGTTCAAAGAAAGAAATGATGGCACCTGCACTCCCTGCCCCCAGAGGCAGGACACAGCCAGCCCTCCTGTGACATTGTTCCTGGTAGCTCCTTGTTGGCCTGCAACCCTCAGGGGGCTTCGCTGCCATTGGCTCACTCACTCCTAAGGCCACCACTTCAAACTCTGAGGCGTACTTACTGCCTTGGCCCACCTGCCTTTGTCTTTCTTAGAACCACTAAATGCAACAACAGCAGAAATAACTTGCTTTTGAGGTCGGCAGTGACCAGTTCAAGGTGACTCTTATTTTCTTAAGCAGTGCTTGGAGGACATAAATGTGCTGACACTTGCCCTCCTTTCTTCATCGCCCGCGACAGAATTCGCAAACAGACCTTGAATGGGTCCCCTAAGGGGCTGCATTTATCCCAGTCTCCCTAGGGATGATCAGCATTATGGCAGCTGGGCAGAGCAGTGAGGAACTGCACCCATGTCCCTGCTCACAGCTCCCAAGATCTCAGAACTGCCTGAGATTCCAGCGTGGGCTCTTTCTCTCCAGATGATGCCATCCCCACCCCCCTCATTGCTACACAGCATCTGAGGCATCCTGCACTAAAAGATATATGTACAGCAAAACAAAAATAGAAAACCAGCACAGCAGAGTGGAGGTGGGGTATAAATATACTCAGATCCCCGCTGATTTGGTTACTCGGGGTGAGCATCAGATGGAAATAGAAGTTTCCGGGGGCCAAGAGAGAAAGAGGGATGTAACGACAATTCCAAAACGTGTCCCATGGTATGCCTCGTGGAAAAAGGGTTCGTTGGTCAAATGAATTTGAGAAAATTCTGTCAACAGCACCCACTCATGGAGCTTCGCAAGGCATCTTAGCTTAATAGAGGTTATGAAATGTCTTGCAGCAAAGATGCTGTTTACCGCTGCTTAACCGGGCACCGCCCAAACGCATTTCAATACCAGAGCCTCTGACTGCATGACATCTCCCCACGTCCTGTATGTCACAGCACATGCTTTGGGAAATGCTGATCTATCGAAATCTCACTGATGAAGAGTGAAGCCTGATCCTTCCTCCTGGCCCCACACTAAATTATAAAAGAAGTTTAGCTTGCAAGTCTTTCTGTAAGTGAAGACCACAACAACATAAAATACATATGTTATTCTCAATTATGTGCCAGATTCAACCAAGGCTCAAAGCAGCCCGCTTGCTCAATATCAGGCAGTAAATTGATGGCAAAGCGGGGATTTGAACCCGGGCCAATGGCTTCGAGGCATATGCTCTGGCCCACCTGTTGTGTACTGTCCCATGATAGTCCACATCTTCAGCAAAGGTTTGGCAGAAGTTCAGAACTATTTACAATGTGGTCATTTCTTATTCAGAACCTCGGTGACAGAGAAAACTGTAATTTAAAGATGTCATCCTTCAAAGATGGCAGATTCTATTGGAGCTAAGAAATCCTATTCCGGCCAGGCATGGTGGCTCATGCCTGTAATCCCAGCATTTTGGGAGGCTGA